CCCCAAAACCCCAAAACCCCAAAACCCCTGCAAGAAAATTCTATCAAAATATAGCAATTTAAAAACAATAATAATTTCTTTAACTTTCAGAAAATAATTAAAAATTCAATGAAGATTTTCATCTGTGAAGCCTGTAATTTACTATTCAATCAAGCAAATAGAAAGCCTATGTATTTGAGTTGTGGAGATGTAATTTGCCAGGAGTGCTTGCACTTTAAATTAAAATAACTTAGCAATAATGAGTAGTACTTCCTTTGCCCAGGTGACGAGTAGCATCAGATTCAAAAAGACTCGAATTTTATCAAAAATCTTCATCTTCTTAAACACATGAGTAGCTCAGACTTTTTAAACATGCAATGTGATATGCATTAGGATAAACTTGTAGAGAAATATTGCAGGTATACTTAAAAACTGATGTGTAATGAATGTATATTAAGCTGCAATCACTCACTGTAATCTGAAGGCCATCTAAAAGTGACTAGAAAAGGAATAGAGAATTATGCTTAATCTGTAATTCCAAAGCTTTAAGATTTATTAGAGAGAATTTAGAGTCTAATAATGAACTTTATAAACTTCAAGAATAAAGATAAGCTATTCCTTGGAAGTGACATCGTGAAAATGGCTAATTAAGTTAAAGAGATCTTTACGATTGGAGCTATAAAATAGATTTAGTAGCCATAGTAGGAGAGAATTTAATAAAAAGAAGAAAGTAAAAGCATAGATGAATCTGATGATTCTACTACGAGTAAACCATCTCATTTCTATGAGGAATGTCTTGATATTGAAACATATCTTGAGAAATCTTCTGATAATGAGCATTAAGTTGTTCAGATCAATACAACTATCTAATCTAAAAACTAATAAGAATAAGAAGAGGAGTCCAAAACTCAAGAGATAAAGCAAGAATAAATTCCTAAATAAAAATTAGCCTTAAATTAACTGGAAGCCGATCCTTATTATGCTAACTACAGAAAACTGGTCGACTTCTAGATTACTACATAAGAAGTATTTTTAGTCAGGGATAAGATTTTAGACCAGAAATTCCTAAGATTTCAAATGATTTACAAAGGTACCAGGGATGGCTTCTCTTCTAAAGTATTTCATCAGTTTTGCAACACCTAAGGACCAACTATAAGTTTTATATTAAATGAATTCGGCTATGTTTTCGGAGGGTATGCCTCAGTCCACTGGAATTCTAATAATTAATATGTTTCGGATGACAAAGCTTTTCTATTTTCATTGACTCGCAAGTCTAAGCATTTAGTTAATGCTTAGGTTGCTCATGCGACTTTTCACAAAGATACACATGGATGGACCTAGGGTGGTAGTCATGATCTCCATATTTCAAGCGATTGCAATATTAATTCAGACAGTTATAGTAATTTAGGCCATACATTTCAAGTGCCAGATGGATATGTTTATGGCTAGGAAAATACTAGATAATATCTAGTTGGAGGCTTGAAATTTAAAGTAATTGAAATTGAAGTTTATAGAGTGCTATATGTTTGAGATTTACAAGGATTTAGTTATATTCATGAAGAAATTATTTATTAAATTTGATATTAGACTTCTTATATTTCTTTTTATGCCAATCTATCATTATAATATATTTTCGGGGTTTTGGGGTTTTGGGG